GTGACTACGAGGCTGGTTCTTGCCATTTCATGAGCTCCAAGAGGACTGAAACTGCTGGGCCCTTGATGGAATCCCAGCACCCAGTGGGTGCCTGGCAAAGGCAGATATTGCAAATCATGTCATTTATGAAGCACCTACTGTATGCCCAATGCTGGGCTGCATCTCCCTGCATTCTCACAAGCACCCCCAAGAGACAGAAACTACCTCCATTTATGGAGAAACTGAAGCCTACGCATCCTCAGTCCCCTCCCCTGAGCTCGTAGGCTTGGTCAGGGGTCTCTTTGGGGTTCACAGGGTCCCCGCTGCTTTCCCCATACAGCCCTATTGCCTGTTTCTGTGGCCGGATGCTATGTCCCCTCAAACCAACAATAAACATTAATGGCAACAAGTTCCAAGGACCCGCAGCCACTCCCTGTTCCCTGAGCGTTACCAGTTTTTATGTGTACTTCTCTCAGGCTATCCTCACACTGGCCCTGAGGTACACAATATGGTTGAACCCACTTTACAGAGAGAAAGGGACACACGCTCAGAGACGGCAAGTCACTTCTCTGAGGCCACACAGCCAGGAAACAAGCACGGATTCCAGAGCCTTGTCCCAAGCAGCACTGCATGGCTGGGGTGGGGCGCAGGGGCTGCACCTGCATGAGCTGGTCGTGCCGGGTGGGGTCAAAGTCGTCCTCGAGGTCCCGCTCCTCAAAGCCCAGTGTCTCGTTGCCTGTGACCTGCCGCAGCCTCTCCAGCCTCGCCAGAATCTCCTTCCTTTTCAGGTTCTTCAGCTGCTTGAGCTCTTCCTGCTTCTTCACTTTCTCCTGCGGGTGGCAGGCCCGGGGGACAGGGAGGGCATGAGCTCTCCCCGCAGGGTGGGCAGCCCTCCCCAGCCCGGCAGCCCCACGCTCACCCTCCTCTTTCGCTCCCGTGTCTCCTCTCTCCTCTCCTTCCTGCGCTCATCTTTGCGGCGCACAGAGGACGCGATGCTTCGAGGGTAGGTCTTGACCTGTGGGCAGCAGGGGAGACCAGAAGGGCCACAGAGGTGATTCTGGGCTCTCCCGGCCCGGGCCCCAAGGCCCAGGTCCCCCCTACCCCCCCAAGCCCCAGCCCCGGGTCCCGCACCAAGGCCGAGTCCGGCTCCTCGAAGCGGAAGTTGTACTTGTGCTCAAAGTCCTCCTGCTTCTTCAGAAACAGCTCCCCCTCATCTGAGGAATCGTCCACGGCTAGCTGGACCGGGAGGCTGGGGCCCCTGGGGGACAAAAATGGGACAGGGCTGGGGGTCAGCTGAGCCCCTGCACTCCTGTGTACCAGCTGCAGTAACGCACTGAATCCTCACAAGAGCCCTACTTCGGAGGCACCCCCATTTTACAGATAGGGAAACTGAGGCACAAAATCCAGTGACAGGGCCACCTAGCTCCAGAGCCCACACGCCGCAGGTCCTCCTCACAGAACAGTAACTCCGCTACCATCTGTGTGAAAAAGTAAACAGCTGGGGCCCTTTGCCTTCTGGCACTGGCTCCAGGCCCCTGGGGGACATGGTTGCTTACCCTTCCTCCTCCTCTGCCTCCTCTTCCTCGCCTTCCTCCTCCTCCACATAGCGTTTGTTGAGGATATAATCCCGCAGGAACTGCTCTCCTTCATCCAGCTCTGGGTTGTTCCAATACTCCTTGAGGTGCGTCTGGGGGTGGGGGGTGGGGAACAGGACCCAGGTCAGGGACTTGTGGGCAGGGAAGGAGGGTGGGCTTGGCTCCATGTGGACTTAAATAACTGAAACTTCACAGCCAGCCTATAAAGTAGGGGGGACAATTTCCATTTTACAGGAGTAGAAACTGGCACCCAGAGAGGGGCACACCCCGTCTTCAGACTAGGGGCTCTTGGCTACTCCCTCAAGGACTGGTTTCCAGAAAAAGCCTGGAGACGGACCAGACCTGAGAACTCACCAGTTCCTTCAGGGCGTCAGGGTTGTGAATCTCCCTCTGCCCCTTCAGCCACTCCACGTAGTCCGCATCCTCCTGGGCCTGCGGGTAGGCCAGCACTGAGGGTCTGGGGACCCCTTCCTGCCACCAACCCCCAGCCAGCCAGGCCCAGCACCCACCTTCTCCTCCCTGGTTTTGGCCCGTTTCTGCAGCAACCCAGAGCCACCTTCCCCGGCACTGTCCTCATCGTCGCTGTCCTCCACGAATGCCCGGAAGCTGCCCATGTGAGAGAGTACGCCTCAGGAGACGAAGCCTGGTCCCTGCCCACAGTCCCAAGGTGAACCCTGTTTACTAAGTCCTGGGCTCTCCTCAACAAGCTCAGAGCAGTGCTGTGACATAGAGGGCGTCATCAACCCCATTTAACAGACGGGGAAACTGAGGCACAGAAAGACTAAGTGATGTGCCCAAGGGCACACAGCCATGAAGTAACAGGGCTGGATTTGAACTCAGGCTCAAATCTGATCCATCTGGCTATTCAGTAGGCCCAGGCTCACCTTTCCTTGAGTTGTTTCTGTTCTTCTACGTAACTTTGCGACGAGATCTGCTGCAGAGAGAGCGACATGGGCCTCAGACCCAGCCCCAGGCCCCTCGGCCCCCAACCGGGGCCTCCACCCTACCTACCTGGAATCTCTGATCGGAGGTCTCTGCATCTGAATTTTCCTCATCGACATATTTGCTGTGTAAGGACAAATGGGGGCTTCAGAATAGACTCCCCACGGCTCGTCTGTCCCCACGGGGTGGGGAGCTGTTACGAGCAGCAGTTGGGGGGCAGTGCGGTGCAGATGGGTCACGGACACTCCTGTTCTCTGGGGTTCCCTCAATCCTGGTGAGTCACCACCAGCTTCTTCCCACCTCTTCTAAGACTCCCATGCATCCGCCTGCCCTGGGAAGGCTCTGGGGAGGGATGGGGCGGGGGGTCAGGATCTCTCCTCACCCTTCTTTCTCCAGGATAACCTTCCTTTCATAGTCCTTCAGGTACATAGGCCGTATCTTCTTTTGCTTCTCTTTGGCTTCCTCAGCTTCCTCGCTCTCCGAGGACGATGCTGTCGGGTTGCCAGAAGACACCTGCCATCACCCATAACCCCCTTCCTTCCCCAGGTGGACAATCCCACCGGGCGGGGCCAGGGTCAGACCACGATTTCAAATATCACACTTGTACTACATGGTAGTAGCTGGCTGGGCTCACTCAGTAACACATGCTTTGAACAGGGTCAAGCACACAGTCATTATTAACAAGTAATAACCTAAAACACTCCGCTAAGCACTTCCGGCATAGAACATAAAACATATATGGTATAAGGGTTCGTCGTCACAAAAACCAGTAAGGCAATGAGGAACCCGGGCTTTAGGGAGGCGCAACCCCAGACCTGCTTTCTTTTTTTTTATTATTTTTTATTTTTTTCAGACCTGCTTTCTGATAGAAGGTGGCATCCTTCTGATAAATGCGGGGGTCCTTCTTCTTCAACAAGGAGAGAGTCCTATAAAAGTCACGCTCTTGCTGGGGGTCAAATTCCTAAGGCATGAGAAGGATCGGGGATGACTTCAGAAGGGAGACGGTGACAGCCCTGGTGGAGGCTGGGGGACACTAAGTAACAGAGCAGGTGGGCTGAGAGGGTGTGGAAATTAGGGTGGGGGGGCATACATTAGGAGGAAGGAGAGGGACCCAGCTGGACAGAGGCAGGTTGGGGGATGGAGGGTGGGTAAGAGGGGCGGTGGGAAGATGTGAAGCAGGTGACAGAGGAAGAGGGGCCCTCGTGGGGGCGGACTGGGGCGGGCCACACAGAGGTACAGGATCTGAGATAGAGGAAGGTAATGGGCAAGGGGAGGATACTTCCTGGGGACAAAGGATTGACGTGGGGGCTGGTGAGCAGAAAGGACATATGTGGGAGAGCAAGCAGGGGCCGGGCTGCACAGTGAGGCCCCCAAGATCAGGGCTGATGTGAGAAGGTGAGTGCCCCATGTGGCAGAAGGATGTTCCACTTCCGGGACTGAGTCGGCCCTGACAAATGGTTAAACTGTTGCGGTCGCACCTCACACATCAGGATGGGCCGGTGGATGGTGGCGGGAGAGGGGAAGTAGGGGGGCATCTGGCCACCGCCTGGGGATGGAGAGGGAGCTGTGTGTCCTTCATGGGACTAGGAAGAGGTGGATGGAAACTCCCGTCGGGTGAAATGCGGTTGGAGGTTAGCCGCCCTCTGTATATCGGGGTCGGGAAGCGGTGGGGGGCTTGGATGCTTCCCGAATGTACGGCACCGGGGTGAGAAAGCTCACCACGCGCTCGTCGCTAGAGTCAGACTCAGAGCTGGAGTCGCCGCCGCTGTCCCGGTCCCCATAGCGATCTTTAACTGCGGGGCACAGATGGGAGCCCCCCAGATCAGCGTGGAGGACCAGCTAAACCCCCACTTCCCGACTACCCGGCACGCGCCGCCGCCCCGCGCGCATGCGCCCCGCACTCACGCCGCTGCAGCTCCTCGCGCTCCCGGTAGCGGCCGTACCGCGCGGCAAACGCCGCGTTTACCCGAAGGGGCGAAGACCCGCGCGGTTCCGGCATGGCGACTCTGCGGCCCACTGCGCACGCGTGCGGCGAGTGTCCCGAAGGAGGCGGGGCTACTCTCGGCCCCCGCCCCGGCCCCGGCGAGCCCTGGAGGAGGAGGAGCCTCGCGGGCCGCACCTCATCCTGTCCCCATGCTTTCCCGGATCCCTTACGCCGTGCGACCATAATCCCCGCCCGCGGGTCACGCCTCTGCGGGTCAGACTGCAGCCACCGCCCACTGCCCCCGCCCCCCCCGCCCGGGGCTCCCGGCACCCAGCTGACATCTGGGGGCCCTTTCTCCACTCGCGGTTTCCTGCCTCCCTTCCGTTCCGACAGCGTAAACCGCTGCCCCACCCAGCTCACTCACCTCTGGCACCCTGGGAATTACCACTCTCTCCCCTCCCCCAAAGCACCCACGATCTGCGACCCCCTTCCCACCCCCCACAAACATCCTGGACGCGCGGCTCTCCATCGCAGACTCAAAAATCAGAAGCCACCAGCTCTGTGATCATGCACAAGTCTTAATTTAATGGGTAAAAACATTAAGTTATCACACAACAATTTTTTTCCACAAAGCTTAATAAATAGAATCTCTTTTTTTTAACGCTGTACAAGAGACTGGAAAACAAGCTTCCAACAAAATATGAATGAACTCATACTATCCTTTTATTGATTTGAAACTCTCCCCCCTCCCCCATGCCTGAAAGCAGTGTGCACACTTGAGGTCTCTCTCTGGGTACAGCCAGCCAAGGTCGCCAGGTTCCAGGAGCCCTGGAAGTGATGACCTCACTCTGGGGCTGGGGCTTTAAACGCTCTGCCCTTGGGCGTCTGCAGCCCCAGCAATCCGAGGCGCAGAGAAAACTGAACCGTTTAGATGGCTGTTGCCTGCAGGAGCCCTTCTCCGCCCAACACATCAAAAGGGGTGAGAAAAACAAATGAGAAATGTCCCTCAAACACACCCCCCCCGCAAATCAACACCAACAAGCCACAAACTGGTGCCCCTCCCCTTTCGACAGTGGGCAGAAGTGAGCGGAGAAAGTGTTTCTTCCCTCCTCTTTTGACACAGAACCCTGCTGGGTCCGGTTGCTGGAGTGGGTGGCCCCAGGTCACAGCAGTACTACCGTGTGCCTCTGCAGTATGTCCATGAGATCCTGAGCCCCTATCCCCTGAGCCAGCTCCAGGGGTGTGAGCCCCCTGGCATCCCTGTGATGGAGATCAGACTCTGTAGCCAGGAAGCTGACCACAGCCGTGTGGCCCTCTCGCACTGCCAGATGGATGGGGAGCGCCCCAGTGCCATCAGGCGCGTTGACATCAGCACCATGCTCTACCAAAACCTTCAGGGTGTCCAGGAATCCAGTGCGTGCTGCATCGTGGGCTGGAGTAGTGCCGGTGGTGTCCTGGACATTGGGACTGGCACCTTGCTTGAGGAGCTCCAACGCAATGGTGGGGCTGCCGAACATCATGACCTGTGTGGGGGCAGAGGGTAAGAGGTCCTCAAGGGAGAGGTTCCAGGAAAAGGGAGTCACTGGAGAGAGGGGCCATTCAAGAACAGGGAACACTAGAGGTCTTCTAAAGAATGGGGACAACCCAGGGAACACAAGCTCTCAGACAGCTGTTGGATACCCCAGAGAAAGACATCTCCTAGGAAGAGGGACCCCCAAAAAGCTGGTCACCCCCTAAGGATAAGACAATCGTCTAGAGAATAGCCTCCACGGAAACTTTCAAGGAACCTAAGACCCTCCCCAAGGAAGCAAAGACACACCCCATCCCATAGGGGAAATCATTAGGAAATATGGAACCCCCCAGGAAATAGGCCTCATAGAATGAAAAATGCCCCCAAAGAACCTGACAGCCGACTGAAGGGAAAGGAGATGCCCAGGGAATTTGAAATCCCTTCTCCAATTAATAACTCCTCCCATATAGTGGGGATGATCCCCAGTGTACCTGACCCCCTTAAGAAATGGGGTTCCCTTGTAAAATGCCCCCCCCCGGGAATAAGGAGACCCGTGCAATGTGTAACTGTGCCCCCATTAGGACTTCCCTTAATATACCAGGCATCTGGGGGAACAAACAAATCCAGGAATGGAGATCTCCCCCAAGTAACTGGGTACCTCTCAGAGAACCCTCCAGAAAATGGGGACCCCCTGGAAACCTGAATCCTTCCTTCCAGTGATTGGATCCCCCCCCCCCACAGAAGCTCCAAGAAACAAGAGCCATCCCTATGAAACCAGTATCCAAAAAAGCTGAACTCACACCACGGAATAAGAACCTCCGCAGGGAAACTGAATCCTCCGCACCCAGAGAATAAGAAATCCTCCAGAAAAGATGGAAAGTCCTCCCCTCCCCCAACCTAACCCCATCCACCACCCACCCACGAAAAGGGACATCAGGGAGCAACATCGGCCCAGGGAAAAAGGACGGGACCCCCAGTCAGCCACCCCATCGCGACCCAGGAAACGTAAGGGAAAGGGTCTGGGGTCCTAGCCCCGCCCTCGCTCCGCGCCCGCGGGCCCTCACCTGCAGCGCCGTCTTGCCGAAGCGGTTCAGGGCGTCGGGGTGCACCAGCTCGTGGTGCAGAAGGCGGCGCACCTCCTGCACGTCGCCTCGGGCCGCGGCCCCGCTTAGCCGGTCGCCGGCGCGGACCTCCTCCAGCAGCATGTCGACACCGGCAGCCTGCAAAGCCCCCCGCCCCACCCCGGCGCCGTCAGTGCGGGGAAAGCCACCGAAGCCGGCCCGCAGATCCCCTCCGAGGCGCACCTGGCCCGGGCGAGGCTCCCAGCGCGGCTCACCAGTCGGCTCTCGGGCGCGACCCCGGCCCTCCCGGCGGGCTCCTCCCCCTGTCGGCCAGCGGGTCGCCAGGGGCTGGCAGCCCGGCCCAACCCTCCGCCGCCCGCACGGCCCGGCCCGGCGCCCGCCCCTTGGGGGCCGGGTCTCCCCCCAACTCACCCTCCCTCCTCCTCGACGTCTGGTCTGAGGCGGCGTCGCCGCCGCTGCCAAGCTGGCCGTCAGGGGGCGGTGCCAGCGCGCTTGAGGCCCCGCCCCGAACGCTGCGGATTTGTTTTCTTATGAACTCGCTACACTGTCGCCCAGCCGCATTGCCCGGCGCGCGACCCGGCGGCGCCCCGCCCACGCGGCCAGCGCAGCCAATGACCACGCGTCGCCGGGGGAGTTTTACGCTCCGGCATGGGCGGTGCCGCTCCTGATTGGCCGAGCCGCGGCGACCGGTGGACCGCCGGCAATGGCGGGGTTTTCGGTTTTCAAACTCGCCGGGCGGGCGGGAAAGGGAGCCGGTTTAACTGACCCGCGGGAGAAAGGTCAGGGGCAGGGTAGCGCGGTATGCCCCGGGCGGTCGGCACCTCGGGGAGGAAGGGAGGCAGGGCTGGGGCAGTCCAGGCCGGAGTTTCACCATTCAGTCACGCGATCAGCATTTATTAGCTCTTAGTATGTGCAGAGCGCTTTGTTTCATTCACTCGCCCGCTGTGTGCTGGAACCTGTCCCGGCGCTGGGGAGCGCGCATTCAGGCATCTACATAATTTTAGATAGCGTTAAGCACCGTCAAGAAAACAAACGGGGAAATGGGGTGGGTGAGAGGGAATCACGTTCTGGCTCAGACTGAACCAAACCTGGCACAGCAAATGCCACGGCGAGGACAAAACACGCTGCGAGCTGCAGCCGCCACGTGATCGAGCCTGGGAGGCGAGAGTCGAGGTCGGAGGAGGCACTTACAGATGCCTGTCTTCGAACATTTACTGAGCACCCTCTGTGTACTAGGCGCGCAACTGGAGAGCGAGCCAGCCAGGTGGTTCCCGCTGCAGGACCCCCACCATTGAGGTCGGGAGAAGACAGTAATTAAATCTTTTCACGGGCGCCTGGGTCGCTCAGTCGTTAAGGGTCTGCCTTTGGCTCAGGTCATGATCCCAGAGTCCTGGGATGGAGTCCCACATTGGGCTCCTTGCTCAGCAGGGAGTCCGGTTCTCCCTCTGCTTGTGTCCCCTCTCTCGCTGTCTTTCTCTGTCAAATAAATAAATTTTTAAAAAGATTTTATCTATCTGAGAGAGAGAGAATGAGAGAGAGCACATGAGAGGGGGGAGGGTCAGAGGGAGAAGCAGACTCCCCGCCGAGCAGGGAGCCCGATGCGGGACTCGATCCAGGGACTCCAGGATTCATGATTCGAGCCGAAGGCAGTCGCCCAACCAACCGAGCCACCCAGGCGCCCAAATAAAATCTTTAAAAAAAAAATAAATCTTTTCAGAGGGGTAAACGCTATGGAGGTGATAAAACTGGTAAGTGATGGTCTCTTGGGAAAGGAAGGCCGTTGAAATAGGTCGGGGAGGGTGCCTGGGTGGCTCAGTCGTTAAGCGGCTGCCTTCGGCTCAGGTCATGATCCCAGAGTCCTGGGATCGAGTCCCACATCAGGCTCCCTGCTCAGCAGGAAGCCTGCTTCTCCCTCTCCCACTCCCCCTGCTTGTGTTCCTGCTCTTGCTGTCTCTGTCTCTGTCAAATAAATAAATAAAATCTTAAAAAAAAAGAAACCTTTAAAAAAAAAAAGAAAAGAAATAGGTCGGGGAGGGCCTCCCGGAGGAGGTGACGTTTGTGACCTGACGGTGAGGGAAGAAGCCAGGTGAATATCTGGGGGAAAGCATGCCAGGTGACAGGCATTACAGATGCAATGGCCGAGGTGGGAGCACCTGTTGTGCACAGGAAGCATGCGGACTAGAGGGGGAGAGTGGGAGGAGGTGAGGACAGGTTAAGTGGAGGGAGAGGTATCGCAGATCGGGCTTGTGGACTGCAGTGGGCACTTTTTACTTTTCACAAGGGAACCGTGGGAGGGTGCTGAGAGCCAGGACGGGACTTAGAAGTTAAGAGGCGCCCTCTGGCTGCTACAAGGGAAACTGAAGATCGTCAAACAGGGAGCCCAAGGAGCGAGGGGGGAAACTGCACGGCCCTAGATGTGCCATGCCCAGGCCTGAGAAACGGATCTGCGTTGCCCGCTCCCATCCCAGCACTTCACGGGTGTTCCCGGCATCCCCAGTCCCTGGCCAAGAATACACACAGCAGCTAGATTCATTCTTTTTAATACCATCCTAAAACTCAGGGTGGGCCAGCATGGCCTCTGGGCTCAGCAGCTGTGAAGGAGGGGCCCCAACACCCCTAAGGCAGGTCACTGCAAGAAGGCACTCATGAGGGGGCTTCAGGACCCTCCTCTATTTCTTCATATACAATTGGGAGGAGGGAGGAGCCCAGAGGCAGGAGGTAGGGAAACTCTTCCTCCCCAGCCTATGGGTGGAGGGAAAGGCAGGGAGGAAGCCAGGTGCTGGGTGCTGGGAACAAGAAACTGCTACGTCAGGGGCCTTCCCTCACACACATCCCCCATCTTCCTCCCTCCCAAGTCTACAGTCCCAGCCTGGGAAGAGGGAAGGCCCCATGTCCAAGTCCCCACCTCTTCTCTCTCCTAGCTGGTACGAAGTTGATAATCTGCAGGGAAACAATGAGCAGAGACCATCTCAGAACTGGGGAAAGGGAACAGAGGGAAAGACCCCTCCCGCACTTATCTCCCCCCCCAGAGCTCATGATCAACTCCATGGGGATGTAACAAGGCTAAGAATGGGGTTCAACACAGGGAAGGTAACCATAGCAACAAGCTTGTCTCCAGATACAGATGGGGGTGCTGTGTTCAGTCCCTTGTCCAAACCCTATCAGTACCCTAGAGCTGGCACTTGCCCCCACTTTAAAGATGGGCAAACTGAAGCCAGGCCTGTTGGATTTTGGTGCCCTCTGAGCCAGAGTGTCATCAAAGCCCAGAGACCATCTTTTGGATCTCCGTGACCCCAGAGTCCCAGGGAGCGGGCTGCCTTACCACCACTTTGGGTGATGTAGCGAACCCATGGCAGGGCCTGGTAACCGCTTTTCTCAATGATCTTCATGTATCGGACCTGAAAGGGGATGAAATGAGGTGGCCCGGGTTGGGCAGAGAGGCTGGCTGTGGTGAGGGAACTCAGGGGGAATGTGGTGACACGGTCTGGGAGTGGTGAGGTGACACGTGTGGGGGAAAAGGTGTGGCACGGGCAGTGGGAGGAGGAGAGCAGGGAGGCAGTCCAGGACCCTGGGAAAGAGATGGCACAGTGTAAGGGAATAGATACGGGGTGGTTTGGGGGGGGGACGAGGTGTCACAGGCCAGGGAACAGATGTGACCTGAGCCAAGGTATAGGAAAACGGGGAACCCACTGAGGCCAAGGAGAGAAGACATGGGCTCACTACACTCACCTGGATCCCGGAGACGGTGAAATAGGGGATCTCAAATTTGACCCCAATGGGGGGCCGGCCCTCTACCTCCTCCTTCTCCACGCTGGGGAGGCCAAAGTGGGCACGCATCAGGTACTCCTTGCCCCCCTGAGGGCACATGGGGGCATCAGACACACCAAGAGGCCTCTCTCTGCCCCAGACCATCCTCAGGGCAGCCCCCAGAGCAGGCTCTGTTCTTTGTCCATTTCAGACCCGAAAGTGAAGCTTCCTGGCCAAGATACAGCTGAAGCTTCGAACTAAAAAGCCTGGTCAGAAGGCGTCAATGACCATCTCCCCATTTCCCAGGCCCTGATGGACCCCGCACACCACGCCGTTCGCAGGCACTGACCAAATCCTCCAGCAGCCCAAGGGTGAGGGTAACGTGATCCTGTCTATTTCACAGGTGGGCAAACAGAGGCTCCATGAAGGGAAGTGGGTTTCCTAAGGCTGTCTAGCTGCGAGAGGCAAGGGCTGGTTTCCTCAAGCCCTGGGAGGCGGGGAGCTTAACCACCCTGCTGACCTGGTTTCCAGCTTTATTACCCCTAAAGGATAACCATATGCAAACACACACGGGTCTCTGATTTGTTCTCTGCCTTGCTCGCGAGCCACAAGGGCAGGTCCGTCAGATCCCACACCCACCCCAGTACTCACCGGGAAAGACTTAATACTCCAGATAACGACATTCTTTTCTGGCATGTACTTGGCACTGCCTACGCTGGTCTTGAACTTTGGGGAGTCGGCATCACTGGGCACGGGCACAGATATCTCCACGCCGTTGGCCACCGACTGCTTCTTAAACTGCCCCTTGGCCTGTCAGGGGAGAGGGTGTGGGGCGTGAAGAATTCCCTCCTGCATTCTGCAAATATTCAGCAAGCCCTATCCCCCGCACAACCTCGGGGAGAGCCTCTGCAATCCCGAAGTGGGGACGATCGGCCTGCCCATTTTACAGATGAGAAGATGGAGACGAAGGGAAGCTAAGGCATTTGCTTGGAGACACACGGCCAACACATGGCAGAGCTGGGGGTCACACCCACAGGAGACTCCAGAGGCTGTGGGTGCCTTCCTTTTGCAAAGTGTCCTACACCTTTGCCTGGTCCAAAATGCTAATGGTGCCCTCACAGAGGAGTTTTCATCTGAGAGCTGGCATTTAATGAGCCCCTAGCATGTGCTAGGCCCCGAGCCAACCACTTGGTCCTCTCACTAATTCCCTAAAGTAGGATCCATCCCTAAGGTCCATTTTACAGATGAGGAGAATGAGGCACTTTGTCCAAGTCAATTAGCTGGTACCTAGCACAGCAGGGACTTGAACTGAGCGTGTGTTGTCAACCATCGCATGCCTTCCTTACAGATAAATGAATAAGTTACATCATCTGTATTAGCACGTGACATGGGACAAACTTTGAACACAAGGATTTTAAGTGTTCTGTGTACAGTAGCTAGCATTATGGTAACTACCACTAATGATGAATTTGGGGAGGGATGTTTGAGAGGTAGAATCAGGGGCAGAGGACCTCCAAGTAAACCAGAGAGGATATTCTTTCCGGGAAGCACCAGCATTAATGGCCCCTTCCCCTTCCCTGCCTGCAGGGATGGGGATATTGAGGGGCGTCAAGACCCTCCCTGGTGACTGTTCATTCATCTTGCAATCCAGCTTCCCTGACACCCCGAGACTAGGGAACAAGGTCAAATCTAAAAACACAGACTCTCGAGCCAGGCAGACCCAAGTTCAAAGTAGGTCCCCTCCCTTCCTAGATGGGGGACATCTGCATCCCTCTGAACCTCAGCTTCCCCATCTGTAAAAG